AGAAAAAGAGGAAAAAAATAATTGTTATTTTAAATAACGACACATGAAAACCTTTTTCAGGGAAAATTTAAACAACACCTTTTATTTTTAAACTTTAGTTTACAATATAAAATAATGTGAAGCACAGATATTTAGTTTGCTATTATAGGGTGCGTTGACCGTTTTGTTATTCAGTAGCAAATTCGTATATCGTAAAAGCAATTTAGCATATGGAAAAATAAGTAGCAAAAGAAAATTAAAAAATATTGTAGGCATGTCTATGATATACCGTTTTTCTTATAGTTGGTCATATATATTTCAAATGGAAAAGGACATTGGGAGCAAAAATATTCTGACAACCGTTAATGCCTTGCATGATGCCGCTACCAAAGCCGAGCAATGTTCTAAGTACCTACAGGTAATTTTATCATATTTTTGGTAAAGACATTTTTTATATTTTAATTCTATAGTAGTTCGTGGTGACGTTATATGTCGCAACGCCGCTAAATGTCGCATTTTCACTAAATGTCGTACCATAGCCACTAAATATTGCAACAACCGCTAAATGTCACAAAATAGTTTACTTGTAAATAACCCAATTGTATCGTTAAATGTCGCACGATATTTCCTTATCGTTAAATACCGCAACATTTTTCGGTTTAATAATTTATAGCCCTTTAATGATGTTTACTTTCCGTAAAAGTGTTTTTCCTGGACTACTTCTCCTATTCTATTGATGCAAATTTAATATGACGTTTCATGATTGATCGGTATCTCAAGTCCTTGCGCATATAAAAGAGGTTTTCCAGCTGAAAAATTTTGACCGAGGTACTCTATGTGCTTTAATTAAAAAAAGACGCGTTCTTGCCTGGTAATTATTGTATATCCTGCTACAAGTAGCTGCAATATGCAATTGACTCAGGCGAGACAAGTAATCACTGATGGCTTGCTATGGTATATTAGCATTAATCTTTAGCAAGTTGAGAGATAATGAATGAAGAATTGATTCTCTTTTTTTTGCAGAATACATCCGAAACAATAAAGAAATTAAAGAGTGAAAATGAGCATTTGAGTTATCATTTAAGAACAGCTCAAGACGAACTTAGTACAAAAGAAAGAGAGTTAAAGATGCTATCAAAACGGAAAGAGATGCTTTTAACGACATGCAGAAACGCCTTTTACAAAGGTAAAACATGTTTTATTACATACATTTTTATTTTGTTTTCCATAACAAATTAAAAAAAAAAGATTTTCGTGTCAAAAACAATTCTTTATATAGTACAATTTCAATGAATTTATAAGCATCAACAATTTTGTTATACCAGGCAAAAAGAGCTTGAGCGAACAATTAAAGACATTGAAGATAACACGAAACAAAACACACAAGTAGATGCCTTAAGCGATGACAAACGGCCAACAAAAGTCGCAGAAAGGTACTTGGATTTGTATGACAATGAATGGGCAGATGCATATGAGGAAATTGAAAAGGACGTTAAAACGAGAAAAGGAAGAACACAAGAGTTATTGCACATTCTGAAGGTATCAACCTAAATAGAATTTTAAAGGACAGTCTTAGTATAATTCTTTAACCATTCAATATCCCAATTCATACAATTAAATAACAATAATTATCAAAGTTTTATGAAGTCATTATCTTTAGTGTAAAATTTTTTTTACAGAAAATCATGGAGTTCTGTGCAGACGTGGCAAAGCAGCAAGATATCAACGTGCATAACGCATTGCTTATAAGTAGCAAAGAGGTAAATTATTTAATACATATTGAATATATTGACTGTTCCTGTTAGTATTAACTGTCCTCAATATTATTAATATTAGATTTTAAATTTCAAATTGAAAACAATTATTGTTTAACCTCCACAAAATAACAAACAAAGCAAACTATTTAAAATCCCTTTCAATTTAGACTACTCCTCTTTTTAAAACAATCGGAAGCGTGTTGATGCTAAATGTTTCATAGTATAAAACATCAAAATATTCTACTTAAAGTCATTTGCGACGTGTTTAACTTATCTTGATTTGAACTTTGAAGAGAGTTAACTACATAATTAAACCGTTCATTTTCTTAATGACAGTGAAGTTGTAAATGTATGCAAACAGCATATTGGGAAAGTCTTGAACATTTTTTCGGCTGACATTCCTGAAATAGTAGTCATCACATAATTTCCAAATTTCAATCCCAAAAGAAAAGGTATTTGATATAGTCTTATATATTTTAAGTTATTTAAAGTAAACATTTAAAAGTCTTTTATTTTTGTCAAATTGTAAGGGTTTCTTAACTTGATATCCTATCCAAAAATTATAACAATTTTAAGAAATTGCACATTATAGCATCTTGTATGTACTTATATGTTTGCGCGGGCGTGCTCGTTTGTGCCTGACAACTATTCAAAACTTGTTCTGTCAAGTCATGCTAACAACATTATCATAACGAAACTTTTTCATAAACATCGATGAATATTGGTCATCTGTTACTTGCACATCATGACTTTGTTCTCAAAGTTTCAGACGTTTTCATTTTTATCAATACTTGTTTCGTCTATATACGTACTTCTTGTCAGTTTTATTTTTATTTTCAATTGTATATGAAATATTTTTTGTACATGTTTGCTTCACCGTTTTTCAACTTTCAACAATTCATATCTAAATGAGACGTCTCTATACATTATTTTCGCTTTGCTTTTTGACCACCACTCTTATATTCAGTCTGTGTACTTGTACTATAACTGTTAGCATTACTTTCACTGTTTTCTAATGCCAGCTTTTAAGATTCTTCTAGGTTCGTGCCCCTCCTAAACATGCCTCGCCATGAAATAAAACGACAATTACACATGTAATATAATACTTCTCAACTTCTTTTCCTGAATTGGTAAATAAATTAAAGTAAGTTCATGTTACTGTTCACTGTTTTATTTATCATGTCATGTTATGAAAAAATCTATGCCACTGTCATATAATCTTATATAAACAAACTTTCTTTGAGACAGATACGGTACACAGTTGTTGGCCGCACATCACATATACAATTAAGTCAGTTTGAAAGCAGCGTGATATTTTATAAATATCTTCGTTGAATTGAGTTCCTTGTTCAGAGAAATAAACACTATAATTGTTAAGCAAATAATTGTGAAATGCTAGTGTTGTTACGTACAGTTCACATTTTAATGCAAAAAATCTAGTTATAAGCATAAACATTGATGCAATATTCTGTCCATCAGGTATAAACTTTTTGAACCCTTCATTACATCACCGCCTTGTATGTAAAGCTTGCAAATTAAAATTAATGATCTAGTATGTTCAATTTATACGATAATATTAATATGTAACGGCGTAACAAATTCTGTTATGTCCTAAGTCTTTGTCCTAAGTCTTTAAGCCCATATAACTGTTGGTTTTACATCATTTTACACCAAGCTTGTGATGATAGGAAACTTCTTACTTATCAGGTTTTAGTTTGAGTGTCTCAGATAGTTGTTTTTTATTGTTTTCCACAGTGGATTTCGGAAAAGTTACAAATAGATGCAAGACAATGATATGTACTCGGTGGTGGTAGATCTAGATGAAATATTTTGATTTTTCTTTAATCTTTTCAATTTCTTGAACTGTCAGTCGTTATCAATTACTAATATGAGTTTAAATTCACTCCAAATATTGAATTCCTTATAATTACATGGTAGAATCTACGACGAGCTTTGCTAAGTGTCAAAGTATGCTATAAATTATGTGAGCCTAATTAAATGATAAGCTTAATTAACCAAATACTTTTTGACATTGATGCAAAAATCTGTGTCCATGATGAAAATTTTTGTTAGCTTGATTCGGAGGACATATTTTATAACTAGGTACAATAGATAACAACAAATTGTCTGATAGTGGTATCAGTGATGTTTCCGATACATATCCAAACGTTCAAAAATTCTTCGACACTGCATGTTTATTTATCCATCTGTATCATGGACAAAATCTAAATCAGTGTCCGAAAACCAATCTTCTTTTTCAATTTTGTATTAGGAATAAATTCAAAGAGTAAAATTTAATAAAACACTTTTTTAGAAAATGCAGCTTTTATATTGTGTTGAATATGCAAGAATGTACTTAAAAGGGGCAATATGATATAGCTTTTAAAGCATTCTGTTGTCAACATGATTCGATCTAGAAGTAGTATAGTTCTTATAGGTTTGACGTGTAAAGTGCTGTAAATGAAGAATCTGATAAGCGGATTTGGACACATATTTTTCAAATACGCCAATCATAAATTTTATAAAATGTTATCATGTGACTTACCTATGCAAACTCATTCGCTGAACGAGATGTGGCAGTTTTTAAATTAAGAACAGGTGAAATAAGGAGATATAAATAATATATATTCTTTTTTTTTGCAAAACATGTAACTATACCAGCACGGCTTAAGATATTGCACTTTGAGATACAACAGTTCAGAACTTAATCAAATGTAACAAAATTGCATTTTTTTCTTACATTTTAGGTACGACAAATCGTTTCCAATTGAAATTTTTAATGCATCCAAAATATATGAACTTAATTAGAAACAATACATTTTAATCATTTTAGTTACGTCTTTTTATGTTTTATTACAGATTGATGAAGACCTAGTATATGAAGCTAGCAAACAACTTTCTTCGTGCAAGAAACGCATTTACCCAGGAACTTGTGAGGACATTTACGAGGTAATTGTTATTTTGCAATATAACTTTGATCTTGAAACGATCAAACAAGCTCTTACTTTATGAGATAGAAAAACTTATTGTGTTTCATAATTATAATCTATTTGTAGTATTTTATCCTACACATTTAATCAGATCCATCACTTAAATAGAATTTTTTTTCAGACTGTGAAAGTTTTGTAATAGCACAGGAAGGCTAGTTAGTTAATTTATCATTTAAAATAGGCATCCGGCCAAAAATTCAACAAATAAAATATAACAAACATGAAAATGCAGTAGAAATCCAAAAGAATGATCATGAATATACACGAAATATTGTAGTATAAGCCTTTTAGGATTAACAGTAAGTTAAAAGATATGTCGAATTGATTGAAACTGTAAAACACCTTGGTTTGAATAGCAAAAAAGGAATCTTTTATTTTGTCAGCTATATATTGCAAAACTTTGACAATCACCTTCACCAAACTCAAGCCGTGAACTAAGGATAACAACCTTTGTAAAAGAATGCATTTGTGTCTGTTGGATGTGTCTGGTAAGACAATTTATTTATTCTTTACACGTGATTGACAAAATGTAGAATAGAATGTCTGGATAGAATGATAACAAATTTGCTTCAAAACAATCCATAGAGAGATTTTAATTTATCGTTTTATGTTTTGAATGTGTATCATGATGTCGCCGTGTCCTAAATAACCAGTGCTTAAACCATGCACTTGTATTTTATACAATTTTTTTATTTAAAATATGCATTGAAACTCTATGGTTTAACATCATTGTTTGACAGTTAATGACCAAATGTCGAAAGACCATTATAAATAAGATATATATTTTAATGCATTAGATTTATTCCTTGCTCACTTAGGTTTATATACCATTATAGTATTCTATAAAATAAATAAACTGCTTGATGTGCTTACAATTTGTCTTTTTCCTGCCAGTTCGCATACAAAAGACTTATTGAAAAAATTACTTTCTTGTTTGTATTGAGACTAATCGTATTCTCTATGTAAAAATATGTTTTAGATTCAATTTCCACCAATGAAGATCGAGTTTACGAACGCTTACGGAAAAGAATTAAAAAAAGATATGTATAAACCATATACCACGTGTGGCAAAGAAATTGATTTCATTGTTTGGCCTTTACTTCTTCATTATGAAAATGGACCAATAGCTGCAAAAGGTATCGCGCAAGGTCTCACTGACAGAAATAAACGATTAAGACTATCAGGAAGGAGACCTATAAATGCCTCGTCACCACTATGGCCTGGATATAGAACGTTCTCGGCAGAGAAAAGTAATCGCCGACCTATTGAAAGGGTTCAACGACCTAGAAGCAGGACGAACAGTTTAGATTCAATATGAGGCCGAGCAGTGTTAAATCATATAATTGGCTATACAAAACAAAACCAAAAATTATACCAAACATTATATTAAAAATGATAATCAAAATAAGTGACATTAATTTTGAATAATGTAAAACTCAAAATTAGAGATAGAGAATGATCATTCTTTGTTGTTTCTTTTTTTACCAAATGATAAATATAATTATATTATCTGAAAGGCAGATAACATTCACATGTGCATTACAAATTACATTATAATTAAAATTAAACAAACACTAATTTAAGTTCCTTATTGATAATATAAGTACGACAAGGGATTTGTCAATCTTCATGACAGTACATTTCTTTCTTCCTTGCGGTTCTACATTTATATGTTATTTTATACTTCTGATAACATTATTTTGGTAAAAAAGAAACGATAACAGAAATCACTAATTACAAAGCAATCTTCTGAAGCCATTTTGAAAAAGGACTAAATTACCTTTTAGTACTATCAAACATAAAACACAGTTGCATTGTGACATTGATTGATATTTTAAGTTGAAGTTGATACATGCATATCTACTGGTTCTTAAGATGGAAATGGGCGTATAAAACTAAAGTAAATATAAAGTTATAGCTAGTTATATATTTTTTAAAAGAGATATAATTTTTTTAACATCAAGAGTAAAGGTCACTTATTATTTATGATCAATGTAAGTCTCCCCAATGTTTGTAAATTTAAAAACTCACCATTTTCATGTTTTAATTTGGAATTCTGTTCAAGCCGGAGTTAGGAGTCGTGGACTTTCCAATATCGTCCTTGAAATCCAAGGCTTGTTTTGCGTATTTATGAAGACAATTCATTCATAAATTATACGTTTAAAGCAAAATTGTCCTTTCTCTGCTCGAAATACATTTAATTACATGTTGTTTCATTTAAGTAATTTGATTTTTAGTTTGGGAAAGTGCATTATATCTGTAAAGCCTTTTCCAAAAAAACAGCGTTTCGAGAGCTATTTATAATGCGTCAATGAAATTTCCTTATCGAGGAAAAGAATCGTCTGCTTTACTTATTTAAGAAGATATTTAAGTATAAAATAGTTTTCTGACACTCAAGACTCAAGATCAATGTTAATCTCGTCAAGTCAACTTAAATGTCTATTTACTTGCCATAGTATAAAGACAGTGCATACATCAGTAGCATAGCTATAACTACTAAGATATATTTTTGGGATAGTTTAAGTAAAAAATGATGCACAATTATGTAAACTTTAAACTGCCAGAGTTATGAAACTTGACGCATGTAATGATCAATACAATTTTGCATTCATATGTAATGTTTGCATATATAATTTCAATATTGGGCTAACAAAGGTTTACCGCCAATTATAGCCAAAATTCAATACTTGAACATTCAAGGTCGATGTCATTTATAAGTCAAGATTTAAGTTGGTTTAATCTTCAGAAAGGTATTGTTCATAAGGATGTTGTGTTTAAATAAATAAGACAAACCATGCATTAATAACAAATTTCTAGCAATGTACAGCAAATAAGCAAAATTCAATTAAATATCCGTGTTGCTAAAGGTCATTAATGATTCAAAGTAAAGGTTAGTCTATTAAGCCCCAGTCACATAAGAGCTCACGACCACTAAAGACCAGTTTGCGATCACAAGTGACATCTGGTCGCGGACAATCTTTAAAACGTTACGACGGTTATAAGTGATATTCGACAGTCGCAAGTTATCTAATTTAGGTCCCACGACCAATGTCAGTCGCAGAGATGTTTTTGAGCTTGCACATAAACCTCTGTTCGACCAAACAGGCCGCAAGTGATCTTATGAGGTCTTTAGGCTGTTGCATAATCGTCGTTCGAAAGTATCTTATAATCTTTAACTGGTCGCCACCGATGTCATTGTCACTCGGTCGCAGGTAGTCTTTCCAAAGTCATAAGATTATCGTGCGATTAGTAGCGACCTGTCTTTCGAACACCCACGGTTGCAAATGACAACTAGCGACTTCGCTACGAATATTAGTAACCGTCGTAGGATTGTCAGAGACTAGTTAAAGATTTCCTATGACCAGACACAGACCAATCTAACATGATATAAAACAGGCACTTCACGGTTCATTTCTCATATGCACTTTTTATTCCGTTGTCATGCCACCAAAAAGTCAAAGGGTATTGGAAAAGTCCAGAAAAGGACCAAACAAGAGTCTGACATTGAGAATGATACTGAAGAGCAAGTTGTAAGCCAGCATAAAAATGCATTACCTCAGGACCTCTCAGTCCAAAATGATGCTTAGCCTATTTGACAGGTCAAGGAGCTGGTATCTCAGGACTCCGAGGATGGTGACGATGAAGATGATGGCAATTTACCACCCAAGGCCAAGCGTGCTCTGTCGCTACTGTGATAAATGTAAATGTTTCACTGTAAAGTCCTCCAATCCATCGGTCTTTTTCAGGTTTTTGTTAATCGCAAAACTGTCGTGCAACAATCTTACGATAGTCTTTACAAATTGCCACTTGTCACTGATAGTCTTGAGTAGTCTTTAGTAATCGTGCGATGGTCGTACGACAAGTTGTAGGTGATCACATGACAGGTCAGGGATAGTCGTAAATAATCCCAGACAATCTTGAGACCATCGTACGTTTGCTGATGGTCTGTCGTGCGAGTGTCAATGACTGGTCATACGATAATCGCGGAAGGAAATTTATCTGTGCAAAGAGGGGGTTTGGTCGCAGACAATTAACGACAATTGTCGGGTTTACACGTTGCCAGTGGTCGCAAGTAATCGTAAGCTCTATTGTGACTGGGGTTTAATCAACTTGAAGAAACATTACAAAGGGATATTGTGTCCGAGTATGATGACAATTCATTACTAAACAATAAAGTTATTGTCATTTTGGTATTTTGGTACGTTTTTAGTTAAAAAGGGCATAATTATGTTAAATAAGCTATTGTAGTTATGAAATGTGACAAAGACAGTTGCATGTTATATTGCTTTTATGATTCAAGTTTCATTATTCATGCTAAAGAACAGAAATGTGTCCTTATTTACTGTTTAGTATCAATATTGAAACCGATAATGATTTTCCAAAGTTTGATGACTATTAACCCCTTTTCAATAATCATCGTCACATTATGTTTTAAATCATTTTCCTTCAAGGATGTTTAAGTTATAAAATGTTTTATTTTGTATTTGCTGAAAATAAATCATTTTTAACATTTGGTGGTGTGCATCGATTTACTTCTTTTTATTAAGTTTCAGACCTTGAGCTACTAAAATAATTTCTAGTATTAGAAAACGATTTATAATGTATGTACGCACACATAGAATTACTAAGATATACCGTTGTCGAAAATGTTCAGTCCATTTGTGTACTCAAGAAGCTATTTGTTGTTACTGTTACTGGGGCTTTTATTTTATGTAAAGCATTGTTAAGTATTTGCTTTATATAATAGAGATACGCATTCATATTTTTGTTTACTGTCTATTACATTCCATAACACCAGTCGCAGTTTTCTTTAAAAGTAGCTCACGGGTTCATTCGAACAAAATTGTTTTGGAATGGGCTATGCGTTATGTGACACTGTACTAGCCCGATTGAAGAATTGTGCATTTGTTCTGAAAGCTGACAATCTTAGTTTTCAAATTTCCATTCAACCATCGGTGCACTACTATAGACACAGTGAAGTTTCTCAAGTTCTTATAAAGACGCACAAGCGTACATAGGAAA